TCAAAAATCCGAATTGTTTAAAAATATTATATTTTTCTCTAGTCCGTTCGATATTAGAATATGGCTCAGTTATCTGGAATCCATATCAAACTAATTTAATTAATAAGATTCAACGCGTTCAGAATAGATTCTTACGAGTACTTGCATTTAAAACAGGCAAAACCGATATATCGCTGAGCACAGCAGGTGAGTACGGAATCTAATTACTTGAAAATAGAAGAAAGTTTCACGATGCAGCTTGGTTACACAAACTAATTAATTCTTGAATCATATATCCCGGGTTACTTGGACAAATACCTATAAACGTCCCTCAAACTAATGCTCGTGTGTCACAAACGTTCTATACATCAACTTACCGCCAAAACTACTGTCTTTTTGCACCGATTAACAGAATGTTAACTTTAGGCAACTCGATAAATAATTTTGATTTTTTTTACGATAACTTAGTCAGGTTAAAATCATTAATGTAATTGTAGATGTTTATGTAATTAATTGAATTAGTATAACTTTATGTCGTTTTTTATTTCTTAATTCCTTGTTTATCAATAATTGTATGAACTGATTTAAATTTGTAATTCTGATTTCTTATCTGTTATTTTACCTGTATTGATTATGTAAACTGTTCTGAGCCCAATTTGGGCGTATACCCATTAATAAATAAATAAATATATACTATTACATTACACAATTACAATTAGGCAGCAAAAAGCCAGTTCACAACAGTATGACCCACCGTGTCGTTAAAAACCGCTGCGCAATTACATATCGTCTGTGTTAATAACGCGCGCGTGTCCGTTGTTCGCCGGTTATATCTAACTACGTCAGATCTGGTTTGCGGTTCATGTGTCGTGCGCCCGATTTCCAACAAGCGGTTGTACGTTTCTTAGTGCCTAAGTGTATTGTTCCTGCTGAGTAGTCCCAGGCGACTTTCTGATCAGTCAGAAAATCAAGAGTAATTCGGACCTGNTTTCCAACAAGCGGTTGTACGTTTCTTAGTGCCTAAGTGTATTGTTCCTGCTGAGTAGTCCCAGGCGACTTTCTGATCAGTCAAAAAATCAAGAGTAATTCGGATCTAAATTCCGTCAATGGTATATTATTTAATTTTATTGCTCGCCACCAATCACCTGCTCTGTCGTTCAAAAACGGGACGACGATGTTCACTCACGCAGTTGGGTGTATACCACCCTGACAGAGTAGATCCTCCGCTCTATCTAGAAACTCCCGTGGGCCCTTTTCGTTTATTCCGTAATATTCATGTAAGCAGGCGCGTACGGTGCGCAGGTCGTGGTAAAGTACCAATACAGACCGCGAGCTGAGGGTAGGCGACAAATCATTAAAAGACCAACGACCGTCGATTGTGTTGAATTGCCCCTCCCGTGGTTGGCGCGTAAACGAAAAATCGGTCGGCTCGTTCTCATGTGTATGAGTGCGCGGATAATGTTTGTCTTGCTAACCCGTGCTACACATCCGTGGTAGTGACGCTTGTCCGTACGAACGTCTCAGGTTGGGAGATTCTTGCGCTTCGATGTCCGCGAGGCGCTCGTGAAATGTTGCGTAGGGTCCGTCGCTCTCGATGGACCGAATGTAACGCAATGCGCGTCCGATCGTCGACTATCATTTAGTTCAACGTTAACANCGTCCGATCGTCGACCATCATTTAGTTCAACGTTAACTTGTCGAATAGTCGGTTGTACAGCAACATGTGGGGACGACATCATATTTTGACTGATTCGCTCGAGCATGTTTGAATTCTGTCGCTGTTCCATTGACATACGCAGCAGCGACCTTTCTAATTCAGTAATCCGTGCCTCGATCCGCGCGTTATTCGAAATGTTGCGAATGTTCTGTCGGATCGCCCCGACTTGTTCTGGCGCGTACGCAATCGAGCGGGCAACTTTCACATCCTCAACGAATGGCGCGCCTAGTTGTCCGCTTACGCTCGTAATTTCCCCCGGTTGTTCGACATCAGATTCGTCGCGATGTTCACCGGATGTTCCTCCGGTAAGGCGCTACGCCGGGCCGCTGATTGTTCACGTCGATTTCTTCTTCGCTGACACGGTCCGTGGAGTTGTCGAAAACCACCACTTCGGGTTCGCGGACCGGAATTTCGCTATCGAGCGGCGTACGGGGTGGTAGAATTTCGGTAGATAGATTCCTCCCTTCGCTACGTAGGTTTTCCTCTAGCATAATTAGCATGCTGGGTTTCGTCGCGTAGCATGGTAGCTGTCTAAAAGCGCATTCACGACGTAATTCAGCGCAATTCATTTGTGCTAATGATTTCCCCGGCATATTGACCGTGAATATTATGTTTATTTACAAACCTTCATAATCAAATGTAGCTACGTTAATAGCGGAGGTACACACTACCTCCGTGTACGGTCAAATTTGCTACTGCTGTAGAAAAACAAGTGTTATTATTATTGCTATTGTTGTTATAAAGTACCGCGATAAGATGTATACGGAGCCGCCGTTTATGATATGGCAGCGAGAGAACAATAATAATAACGGTTACCTGGGAATCGGCCGCTTTGATAAGGTCAGGCGAAAATATGCTATTTTTGTCTTGCAAAAGACTGAAACNAGGTCAGACGAAAATATACTATTTTTGTCTAGCAAAAGACTGTAAGTATCGGGCAGAAATTCACTTTTTGTTGATATCAATAAGGTCTTTATAACAAACTGTAACTAACACTTTTCAACGACAATACTTACGGCGGATTGTATTAGATAAACTACTTTATTTTTATAAAAAAAAATTTTCCCAGAGACCAGGCTAAATCTAATCCCGCTAACACGTAACTGTGAATAGCCCAGGTTAAAAATTCACTGATGTCACCAGTGAAATCCGTTGAAATAACTATATGAACTTTACAATTTGTAAGGGAGACTTCACCGTTCCAAGTTAAAACTAAAATCTAATATAATTAGAAATAAAACTGAATCGGCTCAAAGCCTCTTACATTAACTTCTCGGCCGGTTTAGATTCCTCTTTACGGGGAGCCAGTTATTGCGTATCCAATAAGTCCGGTCGGCACGAATTCACTTAATTCCTTTTAATTTTATATATGTATTACTTTTTGTATGTAATGTAAAAAAAATTTCACAACCTCAATTTAGAGATTCTAGGTGGAAATGTTTCCAACAAATTATAAAAATTACCTATGTTTATTTTTTAATATATTTAAGAAGTAAAAAAATTTAACATTTTAATTAACTGATCAGATTAAATTTAATGTAATGGAATTTATACAAATTAAAGTATGAGATTACAGGTTTAACAGTTTTTATTTTACTTCATGTATATTTTTTTTAAGATTGCTTGAACCCATAATTTTCAGTACTATAATACTATAACATTATTTTAGCATCAATGCGAAGCTGAGAAGGTATTAGTTTTACTATGATGTGTTTTTTTTTGTGTCTGTTACTGCATTTTCTCAGCTCTCACCTAACCGATTTCTCTCAACGATACTACAAAAGATTATAAATCCTATTTAATCGAAGACATTACCCTCATAAATTGAAAAAGTTTCCCTCGTTGCCAGTAAATGGGGGAAATCTCCAAAAAATTACAAATTTAAAAATCGCTAATTTTCAAAATTTTTTCAATTTTTTTAATTTAAAACAGCTATAACTTTTTCAAAAATGAACAAAGCAATATAAAATTTTTTTATAGATGCTTGATATTATTACCTATCATTTGATATATTTTTTTTTAAAATCTGACCCTTTTCCTGCCTACAGGGATGGACTTAAAATGACAACTTTTTCACAAATAATTAACTTTTTCAACTTGATTTTTGAAAATGTTCCGGAAGGTCTGACACTTTTATATATATCTTAAATTAAAGTTAATGTAATATACTTTATCATGAAAAAAAAAAAATTTCGGACTTTATCTTATCTTCACGGTGAAAATGGCTACCGTAGTCTATTTTTGTGTGAAAATTTTCGATTTTGTATTTTCCATTTTTAACTTTATTATGTTATAACTTTTTGAAAAATGTATGGATCAATACAATTTTTTCATGAGAAGTAGNTAATGCTGTAACTTTTTGAAAGGTGAGTGTATCAACACAATTTTGTTATGAGAAATAATATTTATATCCCATTTTCATTCGACTTACATTATCTTAATCAGGATATTAATAAGGAAATAGCAGATCATGTAACTCTTAGAATAATCCACCAATATTCTTGAACAAATATGCTCAAATCATTAATTATTTATAAAAACTTATTGGTAAACTAGTAATAAATATCTATATGTGAATGAACGAAGTTTAAAACTCCTTTGTCTATTAATTATTTAGATGTAGGCTAAAAGTCAATTACGGAAACAAATTAAGTAATTTTATTTTTAATATTTAGTCACACAATTAGTATACAAGATAACAGATTTTGGTCACATAATTGAATTAAAACGATCAACTAGATAAATTTTGAGAAAGAGTAGATATGTGTTCTCTTCATTCATAAAAATTCCTTAAATTTGTTTAAAAATAATTTTCGCTTCACATTTTGATTTTTGTAAAATTATATATGTTTTAGTAAGTTTTAAATACAAAAACTAATTAAAATCAATAATACTAGCTAATCTATCATTTTAATTTTTTCACAGTCGTGAATTATATTTGAACAATAAAAAATATGTTAGGTGTAATTTTGTTTATTATTTTATTATAATATAGTTTAGAGAATCCAACAAATATAATATTTGTAACTCAACAAATATGCTCAAATCAATTATTATTTATAAAAACTAATTGGCAAATTAGTAAGAAATATCTATATGTGAATGAACGAAGTTTAGAACTCCTTTGTCTATAAATTATTATTATCTAGTCTAAAACAATTTTATTGTTTCCACACTGAGTTTTTCACAGCTCTCTTATGCTTCATATTAATAGGACTAACTTTACATAATTTATTTAACTAAGTACAAGTAAGGATTATCTATTCATGACTGTACAGATAATTGAAATAAAACCAATCCGATAGACTGTTATGAAAAATTTTATTATGGAAACAAAATCATTATAAAATGTATAACAATTTTAATTATGAAATTTATATAAATTGATATATTAACTGAAAATTTTATAATATTGTTGAATTAATGTTTTTTTCATATATTTTGAAAATGTTTAAAGTGGAACTGATTAAAGGTTGACGGAATTCAATGGTACTGAACCTTTAGTTTGATCATCATCTAAAAAAAAATAAAGTTTAAATAAATGACAAATTTTTAATAAAATTAATTTAATAGTTTAAATTTGATTATTTCTTTATAACAAATTAACTTTTTGTTTTTGAAGCAAAATATAAGACCAAAACATTTTTTCAAAATAATGTTTAAATTGGTTTGAAAAGTAATTTTTTTAATATAAAAAACGAAAGAGAATTTAGAGATATAGTTAAAATAATAATCACGCTATTTTTAAAATTGATTGAATTAAAATAAATAATTACCATCAAGATTAGCACTGCCGTCACCATTCGGATTGCCTCTTTCGTTTACTAAAGGTTTACTTTCATTCTTATCTGTTAGAATATTTTTATTGAATTATTGGCATTTTCATCTAATCGTAGATTTGGATGAGCCAATTTTTAAACTTTTAAAGTATTAAAATATTTTATAAAACTCTCACAATACAAGAATTTTATAAAAAATATATTATTAATGCTTATAACATATTTGTATCATAGTATTATATTAGGGTAAAAATCTTAAAATATATTATTACTCATATGTACGAATAAAGTTAATTACTACCTACATTTAATTAATAATTTTAATTGATTATGTGTAATCATTTCACGTAATTTTATTTAAAAATGTATTCTCAAATTGTTAATTTTTAATTATGTTTAAATTATTTTTATCTTACGCAGAGATGAAGCNCATAGTATTATATTAGGGTAAAAATCTTAAAATATATTATTACTCATATGTACGAATAAAGTTAATTACTACCTAGATTTAATTAATAATTTTAATTGATTATGTGTAATCATTTCACGTAATTTTATTTAAAAATGTATTCTTAAATTGTTAATTTTTAATTATGTTTAAATTATTTTTATCTTACGCAGAGATGAAGTTGAGACAGTCGAAAAGGAAACGATGCACATAACAAAAATGATGTTGAAGTATTTCATTTTGAATTTTCTGTAAATTTATATAAGAACTATATTATATATGCAAATATTTATTGTTTCATTATTTCAATTAATTTTGTTTCATATAATAATNTGTTGATATTATTAAACAACACACTGGGTACAGTAATATTATTTAAGATAACAGTTTAATGTATTTTTACTTATGTTAGTATAGTACAAGGTCAAAGGGACACATTCCTTTTACGATTATGTTGTTTTACTCAATGCAGCCTATTGTATACATGTTTACAGTTTAGTCGTAGTTTCACCGTCTATCGAGTAAAGTGACCCGTTGCCGTTGTACATCTCTTATATTATATGTTTTGACATTTTATATTAAATACTATTATATTACGAATAACTTCTAAATCTTTTAATTACATAACCTATTCCATTCAACAGTAATATTATAAACGATCATAATATTATATATTATGATCGTTTACTTAGAAAATTAACTATTCATTTATATATTTTTAAATTAACATTTAAGTATTAGGCTTAAATGCATTTTACCACCCCATCGAGTTTTTTAAAATTTTTTTTTTTAATTGATTCAGTTTTTTATACTGACTAAGAATATATAAAAAAAATTTGTCGGCAAAGTCCTGTTTAAAAGTTATGAGCTTTCAAAGTTTTCAACCATCATTGACAAATTTTGTTATATACTTCTGTTCTTTTTGTTTTTTGCATTAATTCATTAGAAAAAGTATTCTCGATGATTTAGTAATCGAATTTTATTTATTTAATTATACTAAAAAAAATATTTATATGTGTGTATGGTTGGGTTAAATAAAAAAATTTACGACGCGCCGCTCAATTCAAACTGTTGCTGAAATGGTATTGCTGATACTTATTATACATACAGTTTAGAAAAAGTATTCTCGATGATTTAGTAATCGAATTTTATTTATTTAATTATACTAAAAAAAATATTTATATGTGTGTAGGGTTGGGTTAAATAAAAAAATTTACGACGCGCCGCTCAATTCAAACTGTTGCTGAAATGGTATTGCTGATACTTATTATATATACAGTATCAGTTTCAATTCTAACTATTTATAAAATTTTTTGCATTATTTAAATTATGATAATACGTTTTTATATTTGACAGTTGGTAACAAACATCATGATGCACTGTTTCTATAACATTGAAAAATAAACGATGTAATCTATAGTCTAATCTTAGTAGTTTACCAATAGATTACAGCTTAATTCTTTTTCTATTTAAGTTATTTTTTCTCACTATGAACCGATGGATGTATGATGGAAATTTGTACAAATGTCATTGTGGTTTAAGTGTAAATATTTGGGATAAACCTAATAGTTATTTAGAATNAGTGTAAATATTTGGGATAAACCTAATAGTTATTTAGAATCGAGTAACACGCAATTTGTCGTGAAAGATTATACTGATCCAACGCGTTGTCGTTACTTTAAATACATGGCTGAAGATTACCACAACTGTAATTGTCATACCCAAGCATCATTATGAATTACTAGTTTAGGAAATAATAAGGACAGACCGTATTACTGCTGTGCAAAACCGCGCACGAACCCACAAAGGTGCAATTATTTTAAATGGTATCAAGATGAATACTGAAATTTCAATATCTAATGTAATAGTATTTTTTTTTGTTTTCAACAAGTGTTAATTGATATACATAATATACAGTATAAAATTTTAATAATTTATTGAATTAACAATTCTAAGTAAAACACCACAACGTGGCTTTTTTTTTTTTTTGGCTCAACTTGAATTAATTGTGTTTCTTATTATTACCTAATCACTAACATAAAATTTTATGAAAACCCCATTTTTATTTCGTATTGCGTAATTTTGAGGTGCGTAGTTTTGAAAAAAAAAATTTGGAAAATCCTTATTTTTAAAGTTAATTTTGGTTTTAGGATTTTTAGAATGAGGATATTATGTAATAATTACGTCATTATAGTTTCACAATAGTATCATGAGAAAAAATCCCAAAAATTAACAAAAAAAAACAATTTTTGAGCTATTTTTAGTTTTTGACGTTTCAACTTTAAAAAGCTATAACTTTTAAACCAATTTTTTCCGACAATTTTTAAAAAAGCATTGAAAAACACACGTTTAAAAAAAAAAATTGAAAAAACTCGATGGGACGGTAAAATGCATTTGTTCCAAGTATTATATTTAATCTAGCTATTAATGCAACTTATCATGACAAATATTCTGAAGCGTAAAAGATAGTACTAAAGTATTTTATTTACCTCCTAGTAAGAAATAGTCAATAATATATCACTTACTCGTTGGAAACGATGGAATTATTTATGAATAATGTTGCGAAATACACTAATCATAAGTTAAAACATATTCTGCTTTATACATTATTCTTCACAGAATATTTCATTATATTATTATTTTAAAAAATAACATTATGAACACTTGTTTAAATCCTTTATTCATATTTTACAAGATTTATTGAATAAAATTGCATATATTATCGTTGAATACTACTCAAAATAATTATAAAACTACGTCATTTAAATTTAAAAGAACGCCTTACCATTTATCACGTGATAGTAATTTCATTTCATCAAAGCTAAAGAATTTCAAAATTATTTCTTCGTGCAATGAGACGGTTATGATAAATGTATCATTCTTTATTGACAGAAAAAGTGGCGTAGTTACGATAACTTATATCCTTAGATATTTAGGACACATTTCTCTTCCTACCCACGTATAAAAATTTGAATAACATTTGATGTTTTGGTTTAAGAGTTATTATAAGCTACAAGGGGTGGTATTATAATAATTAATAGAGTTCGTCAACGATATATTTTAAGATATCATTATCGTACTAAATTTTAGTGATATTATATCGAAAAGTTGAAAAAAAAAATTGTTCCCGATATTGCGATATGTCGATATCATACGGATAAATAAATTTATTTCGAAAAAAAATTATATTTAAAAATTAAATTTTAATTTTAAATGTTTTCACCATAATTTCTTTTTTCAAAATACCATTAAGTTCCCATTGTCGTAAAATTCAGCCTGNCATTAAGTTCCCATTGTCGTAAAATTCAGCCTGTGATATACCAACCAAATCAGATAATGATCAGGTAAATTGTAACAAACAATAAGAAAAATTGAAACCCGATTCCTTAATTACTGAAGACCCTCCTATACAGGGTGGCCCACCACTCACTGACAACTTAAATAACTTTTGATCCAGTTAATATTTTTAGCTGATTTTTTTTTTA